CCCTGTCCTTTCTATAAGTTACCTTGTTCATGCTGTTTTATGACAGCAACAGAAAAGTAACAAAATATACATGCTAAGCAATTTCTATGTCAGTAGTACACCTCTCTGTCCACAGCAAGCTATATTTTAAAGGAATAGTCAGATAACAAAAGATGCCCAGTGTGGTGATGCACACATATAATTTCAGTCCTTGGAAAACTGAGACAGGAAGACTGACTCAAGTTTGAGCCTGACCAGGGTAGCATAGCCAGCAAAAAATAAAGACATTTTTAAAAATCAATGGTGATAATGCAAAAGAAACAGTAAAACTTCAAACTCAAGAAAGCAGAAAAAAGCTGGGTGGGGTGCTTCAAATCTCAGTACTTGGGAGACAGAGGCAGGGGTTGCTACAAACATGAGACCAATCGGACATACAGAGCAACTTCCAGCCCAGCAAGGACCATACAGCAGTAAGACCCTGTCTCAACAAAACAAAATGAAATTCAAATCAGCCTGGGGAAAGATCCCAATAGAAAAGTTCCTTCTTTGCATGTGCAAGGCTTTGGTTTTAATCCCTAGTGAGTGCTGCAACAAAATAAAAGTAATATAACTCATACAAAACAAAACAGGAAATATCCTTGTTCACATCTTTTGCTATACAAAAGACAAGCACTACAAGAAACGATCATAATTTCTATGTCAGAGAAAGTACTTATATACATAAAACCTCTAAAATTTTGACAAGAAGGAAACAAAGTAGGACTGGATGTGGATATCAATTATTAGAGTACTTGCCTAGCAAGCACAAAAGCCTTTTTGAGTCCCAGCACTGCATAAAGCCTAGTGTGCTAGTGAATACCTGTAACCCTAGCACTTGGGAAGTGAAGGCAGAAGCGCAAGAAATTCAAGGTCATCCTTGGATACATGGCAAGTTCAAGGCTAGCCTGGGTGACAAGAGACCATACCTCAGGGGAAAAAAGGTAAATAACAGAAAAGAGAAAACAAAAGAAACTAGTAGACTGGCATGATGGCACATGCATTAGGGGGCGGTCTCAGGTAGGGTTTCTATTGTGAAGAGACACCACGACAAGGCAACTCTTATAAAGGAAAACATTTAATTGGAATGGCTTACAGTTCACAGGTTCAATCCATTACCAGCATAGCAGGAAACATGGCAGTGTGCAGGCAGACATGGTGCTGGAGAAGGAGCTCAGAATAATATATTTGATACAAAGGAAACATAAGCAACTGTCTTTCTTACACTGGGTGTAGCATGAGCATGAGACCTCAAAGTCGGCCTCCACAGTGACACACTTCCTCCAGCAACGTCACACCTACTCCAACAAGGCCACTACCTAATATTGCCATTCCCTATGGTCCAAGTATTTAAAAACATGAGTCTATGGGGGCCATTCCCATTCTAACCACCACAGGGACTAAGAATGGAAGATTATAGGCAAGGAGTAGAGACAAGGACCAATTAACAGTCAGTAAAGATTTGGGCCTGGGAGATGGCTCATGGATAAAGGCACTTTCTTTGAAGTCTGGCAGCCTGAGTTTGATCCAGAACTCACATGATGGAAGGATAGAACTAGTCCCTGCCTATTGTCTTCCGACCTCCACATGCTTACCCTTGAACACACGAAAGAAAGAAAAAAACATAAAATCACACACACACACACACACACACACACACACACACACACAGACACACACACATACATACCTACTTGTAATGAAGTTTAAAAACAAGTAAAGGTTTAAATAGACATTTCACATGCCTAGCATGTGTAGTGTTCTGGGTAGCACTAGAAGTGAGAGGGGAAAAGGGAAGAAAAGGGAGAGAAGGATGAAAAGAAGGAGGAATGGAGGGAAAGTGATTTTCTTAGGAATAGAAAGGAAGATCTGAGTCATTTATGAGCAAGAAAAAGAATGGCTTCAGGAAGAGGTAAAATATATGTCCAAGAGAAGAACCACAACTGATTGAGCCAGGCTGTAAAAGAAATGAGAAGGAACAGAAAGGATCACAGTAACGGTAAAGTATCCTTCAAATCATAGTTTAAGTGTTATTGCCTTTGTAAAGCCTTCCCGGGTGTGCCAAACTAAAGCAGCCTTTTCCTCCACTGTACCTCCACTACGTTTAAGACATACTCTTGTAACCCCTAGTCTTTGTCACCAAGTAGAATTGTTACCAGTCACTATCTTACAGACCTTTTCATTCCCTTCTCCTATCTCAACAATTCATTAGTTTCTAAATTATCTAAAAGCAGAATTTCAAGATCATTTTCTAGTTATTTCATACAAGATGCTTACTAAATATGGTAAAACAGTAGCAACAACAAAATTCCTGCAGGAGTAAAGATCAATGAATAATGATCTGGTATGGTGACTGATTCTTTTCGTAAAGCATTTATTTTTATATGTGTTTGCATGGATGAACACCTGACATGCATATACATGCCACAGCACACATGTGGAAATCAGAAAACGAACGTGCAGGAGTTGGTTCTCCGTCATGTGGGTTCCTGGACTGGAACTCAAGTTGTCAGGCGTGGTTGGCAGCAAGCATTACTACCTGCTTAGCCATTTTCCTAGACCCCAGAAACTGTGTGTGCATGTGTTATCCCTAGGATTACAATTACATATACTGGCATTTGCATTGGCACTTTGTTACCAAAACTATTCGGTTTCAGATTCATCTGAGACTTGAACCTAAAGTGAAATATATCTGAAAAATTGTCAAGGGCATGTCTTTCCTACATAAATGCATTCAACCCTTCAGCTTGGAAAAGACCACCTATGCTGAATCAAGTGTATATTACAGAAAACCAAATGACTCTATTCAAGAAGCATGGAAGCAATTCATTTTGCTAATTTAAGTCAGTTAAAAATTCTGAGGACTATAGATCTGATGTGCAATTTTATGACATTTAAAGTTGCAATGATATTAACATTTTGAGTTTAGAGTAAACAAGCTCCATATAGATGAAAATGAGTATCCATCTACTGAAGGCATTACTGAAGCATATTGTCTATGGTACTATACTAAGTCATAGCATTATTACAGTGTTTGCTGTCATTCTACCACTAGTCAGAACATACTTCACTCCTATCTGCTCTATACTAGTTTCAGTATAGGAGCTCTTCCTCTGTTGCAAACATACCTGTATCTTTAAAGACAAGTTTTCTTTAAGTAAATAGGAATTATAGAACCATAATACAATTAAGACATAACCCAATACTATTTTCCTTACAAATAAAAGATCATCTTTGAGAAACACATCAAGGATTTTTTTCCTTGGCATTAAGAACATGATGTGCACTAAATTTTGTTCTCTAAATCATATGTTAAAGTAAGTCCTAACCATGTGGAGAAAGGGGAACACTCTTCCACTGCTGGTGGGAGTGCCAACTCCTACAGCCACAATGGAAATCAGTATGAAGATTCCTCAGAAAAATGGGAATCAGTCTACCACAAGATCCAGCAATTCCACTCTTAGGCATATACCCAAAAGATGCACATTCACACAACAAGGACATCTGTTCCATTATATTCATAGCAGCATTATTTGTAATAGCCAGAACCTGGAAGCAACCTAGATGCCCCTCAACTGAAGAGTGGATAGAGAAAATGTGGTACATTTACACAGTGGAGTACTATTCAGCGGGAAAAAAAAACAATGGAATCTTGAAATTTTCAGGCAAATGAACGGCACTAGAAGAAACCATCCTGAGTGAGGTAACCCAGTCACAAAAAAGAGAAACATGGTATATATTTACTCATATATGGATTTTAGGCAATCTATGGATGCTTGGGCATTTATCCCTGGCATACAAGTGGATTTAGGGTGCCCATCCCACAATGAGGGATGCTGTCTCAGCCTGGACTCTTGGGGGAGCGCCTAGGCACTGTCCTGGATGAAATGACAGACTCTGGAGATCCCCCATGGAGGACCTCACCCTCCATTGGGATCAGAGTGGGGATTGGGAGGGGCTGGGGAGGCCTATTGGGGGGGCAGGGGAGGAAGGGAGGGAGAGGTAGCTGGGATTGACATGTGAAGCAAGCTTGTTTCTAATTTAAATAAAAAAATAAGTCCTAACCACCAACCTTCTATTTGTAGATGGGCCCTTTGAGACATAATTGGGTTTAGATATGGTAGTGACTGGAACTCCAGGAGATTAGCACCATGAGCTTAAAAGAAGAGACCTCATAGAACAGCCCCGCTTCCTTCCCCTCCCCTAATCTTCTTTCCTAATCTCTCTGACTTGGGGAAAATTGGCTACTTGAAAGCCAGAAAGACAGCACTCAGTAGAACACAACTACACCAGAACTCTCGGGCTCGTTTGCCTGCAGAACTGTGTAAAGTGTATCTCTGTTTCTCAAATTATCCTGTTTATGGTATTTTATTGTGGTAGCCCAAACTAAGCCAAAAACTTCATGAAATATCGAGGCAAAATTCTAACAATCTCCAACTTTATCAGTGAAGTACTATGAGAAAAGAACTGGCTAATAAAGACATAAAGGAACACTCAACTACACACACACAGAGTCATTAAGAGACTCAACTATTCTCACAGCCACTCCATAGTTGAAACCCCACTTCCATATTTACTATGAATGTACCTACAACTGTCACTAATTATGCTGCAGTGACAAGGAGAGACAGGAAAAATAATCACTGAAGGCAGCAACAGGGAGAACAACCAAGTGTCATGTATAAATTGTTATTACAGTGTGATGTGTAATGCAAGATGCTTAACTATGATAAGCATTGACAGACTCTGCTTCAAAAACCAATATCAAAATGGGACATGTAACGGTACAATTGCCATCTCTTTGTACTAGAGTGAAAAAGTAAAAGAAAGAATGCAGACACAAAAGTAAGGGAATACGATAGCTACAGAAAAACGTAGCAGTCATTCAACTCCCTCCTAGTCTTCATTATAACATACATTTTTTCCAAGATGAAACCTAAGAAAGAACCTAATTGTACATAGAGAAGAGAATATGAGATACTAACCCAGGAAACAGCAGTGTCATCAACAAAAAATGCATCTTCCACTTTCCACCCTTAAATGCTGAGGAAGTAAAAAACAGAATAGTTACTGAAATGTCTTGATTTAGACCATTTTACAAATACTGTAGTGTAGCCTGGTGATGGTGGCACATGCCTTTAATACCAGCACTCAAGAGACAGAGGCAGGTGGATCTCTATGAGTTAGAGGCCAGCCTTGTTTGTCTACATACCTGACTCAAAAAATTAAAATTAAATAAAAAATTACTCTAGTGTAACTGGTACATTACAATTGTACTGTAGTGTAATCAGTACGGAATTACAATTGAGTATGTCAGCTGAAAATCCTTGTAATTTTTCTAATCTTTTTCTTGAAGTCCTTTTAATTTCTACATTTAATATATACTAACTTTCCAGAGTAATAACAGTAGTAATGCTTACTCTTGTACAATTTGGCAGCCACATATCCAGCAGGGATTCCCAGTAAGAACCACAGCACAACAGCATAGTTCACTAAATCAGTTGGATCAACAGGGGTAAGAAAACCAAGGCCAACCAGAACTGAAGGCAGAAAAACAAAATGGGAGCTGCATGAGAATAACCTCTAGATTATTTAGGAATTTAAATATGCCCCATTAACAAATTATGGGAAAAACACAAGGAAATGTTTTAAGGGAAGTACCAAAATCACATTGCAAACAAATCTACTTCTATGACAATTTCTTAAGTGGAAAGATTTTTTAGTTAAAGGTATTTGGAAGTTTTATATTTGAATTAGTCTTTAATTTCATTACATCAAAATCATGCACTGTTTCCCCTTCCCATAATCCAACAGTCATCCCAAGAATAGCAAATTATTTTTCCCTCAAAAATTTCTTTTCTCAGCCAGGAGGTGGTGGCACATGCCTTTAGTCTCTGAACTCTAGTGGCAGAGGCAGGTGGATCTCTATGAGTTTGTGGTCAGCCTAGTGTACAGAGTGAGCTATAATACAGTCAGGACTGTTACACAGAGAAACTCTGTCTCAAAAAACAAACAAAAATAATCTCTTTTCTCTGTATTTTATCAAAATGAGGAATAAAAAAAGTTCAAAGTGAGGGAGTTTTAGGAGGAAAAAGTGCCTTCCAATTGGACTTTTAAAATTATCATTGACCTTTGAAACATTGAATAAGCCATTTTCTGTGCAATTTTGTCTATTAAGTCATTGCCCTGGCTATCAAACAGTGACAAGCTCCATTTTGAGCTCATAAATTAAGACAACATATGTTCATAGGTCACTGTTAGACTAACTACTAAGGATGCAGTTCCAGAGCTGGGTGTGGTAGCACACACCTGGAATTCCAGAATTTGGGAAGTAAAGGCAAGGGGATCAGAACAGAGCCTTGGCCATATAGAGACATCTAGACCAGTGAGTGCTGCATAAGACTCTGCCTCAAAAAACAAACAAAACAAAAAAAGAAGCCTGCAGATTATAGCTCAGTATTGCACTTGCCTAGAAGGCACTAAGCCCTGAACTTAAAGATCTGTACTTGTAGACTGAGGCCATAGTTCTATCTGCAAAGTGCTTACCTTGCAAGTACAAAGACCCAAGTTCAATACCAAGAATCTGTGCTAAAATATCTGGACATGAGCTGGGAGAGATGGTTCAGCGGTTAAGAGCACTGGCTGCTCTTCCAAAGGACCCAGGTTCAATTCCCAGTACATACATGGCAGCTTGCATATATCTGTAACTGTAATTGCAGGGCTTCTGATACCCTCACACAGACATACATGCAGGCAGAACACCAATGAACATAAAATAAAAATAAATTACTTTTTAAAAAGGCAGGCCGTGGTGGTGTATGCCTTTAATCCCAGCACTTGGGAGGCAGAGGTGGGTAGATCTTTATGAGCTCAAGGTAAGTCTAGTCTACAGAGTAAGTTCCAGGACAGCCAAGGCTACACGGAGAAACCCTGTCTCAAAAAAAAAATATTGCACATTGTATTGTGGTACACTTCTAATCCCAGCTCTTAAAAGGTAGACAGATGGTTCTCTGGGGCTTATTGGCTGGTCAGCCTACTTTAGTTAGAAAGTTCCAGGCCAGTGAAAAACCCTGTCTTAAGAAAAAAAAAAAACAGATCAAAACCTTGCACTTAAGCTTGTCATGGTATTTCAAAATGTTAGCCTTTGTTTTGGGTGTTCCCTCAGTCCACTGAAAATATTCTACTTGTACCAATATTCAATAATGCATCTACCTTATAAGGTAAGACGTATGTGTGGAGTTTTTATTTTTTGTTTGTTTTATTTTGTTTGTTTGTAGACGGGGACTCACTATGGAGTTCCGACTGTCCTAGAACTCACTCTATAAACCAGGCTAGCCTGAAACTCACAAAGATCTGCCTGTCTCTGCCTCCTGAGTACTGGGGTTAAAGTCACATGCCACCACTCCCGGTGTGCTGAAGCTTTAAACAAATGATTTAGAACTTACATAGGAACATTCTCAAACTCACATGCATAATTCAAAAAGACAGGAATATAAGTACTAAAAGACATAAATTCTCTTAAAATTGAAGCTATGTTTTTCAAAATCATTTTGTACTTATGAAACAAAACTTAACACATGTCAGCAGTTCTTTACAAATGTTAAAGCTATACTTGAATGTACTCACTTAAAGAAAAAAATGTCATTATGAAAATTTGTGTTCCTTGACCAAGAAAGACTGACAGCAACATCCTATGTTCTGGGAGCCTGAATACACTCTTATAAATCATCAGCCATCCAAACTGCCTCCGTTCATATTCCTGCATGTGAGAAATTCTTTAATAAACATGTAAGTAAATATGACAAGTTATATAAAATGGAATTTTCCACTGAAGAGAAAATAACTGGAAAGCAGTGTCTATGGATTCAGCATGTTTCTGGATGCTATGTAAGCCTGCTACATGAATAAATCACTCTCTTAAATTATGTTTTACATTAGAGGGGGTTGTTAATTATATAAAGCACACAGTTTTCTGTATTTTGTCAAAGAAAGAAAAATTATTTAACCTAAGGAACTCAACAGACTCATAGGAATTTAAAATTCATCAATATGTAAACATTTACAAGAACCAAAACAGTAAGTATAGTACAAAATAAATTATACTTTGTAACATTTGGTATTTATATCTCATGTTTGAAGGCAATTAAGAGTTTCTTAAAATAATATTTTTAGTCATCAGAAACACATACAAAATATAACCAAAGTTGATGGCAAACAAGTGTCTAAATAAAGTTACAATGTTAAACAAACCTATACAACTCTATACTTTCTGACTATATAATTTAGTGGTTCTCAGCCTGTGGGTTGCAATCCCTTCAAAATCAAAGGGCACTTTCACAGGGACCATTGGAAAACACAGATATTTACATTATGATTTATAACAGTACCAAAATTATAGTTATGAAGTAGCTGTGAAAATAATATTATGGTTGGGAGTCACTACAACAGAAGGAACTGTATTAAAGGGTCATAGTATTAGAAAGGTTGAGAACCACTAGCATAATGTACAAAATTGCTAGACAGCAGTGAAGTGTTATAGTCAAGGCACTATACTTGAAGTAAAAATTCAATAACTGACAACTAAGCAAAATATATATCAAATTGAATCAAAATATCCAGTTTTACTTACGGAAAGCCTTATACGATTACATTTGGAAATATCTCTACAGATGCTCTTTAAAATGACGATAATCACCAGTCCACACAAGGCAAGTACCACAAAAAAAGAGTTTATAAGTCTAGAAATTTTCAGAAAGAAAAAAAGTTAGAGTTGGCAAAGTGACTCAGCAGGCAAATGTGCCTGCCACCAAGACTGAGCCTGGGTTTGATCCCTGGGACCCATATAGTTGAAGGAGAGAACTGACTCCTTCAAGATGTCCCCTGAGTTCTCTGTCTCTGTCTCTGTCTTTCTCTGTCTCTGTCTCTGTCTCTCTCTCTTCTCTCTCCCTCCCTCGTTTTCTCCCCCCTCCCTCCTTTCCCCTCTCTCTGTGTATCTCCCACTCAACACGCACACTACACAAACAAATAAAAATAAATGCCTGTGATGGTCTGAATGAGACCGGCCCCTGAAGACAAATATATTTGAATGTGTCTTAGTTGAATGTGTGCTCAGTCCTTAGTTGGTGGAAGGATTAGGAAGGAGGTGTGACCTTGTTAGAGGACGTGTATCACTGGGGATAGCCTTTGAAATTTCAAAAGTCCATGCCAGGCCCAGTTGCCCCCTATCAGCCTCCAACTTGCTGATAAGGTCTAAGCTGATCCAGTGCCATGTCTATCTGCCCACCATGATGGTCATGGACTAACTTCTGAAACTGGAAGCAAGGCCCCAATTAAATGCTTGGTTTATAAGTTGCCTTGGTCAGAGTGTGTCTTCACAGCAATAGAAAAGAAACTAAGACAAGTGCAATAAAAAATGCAAAGAAAAATGTTAAATTTCTTTTTTATTTTTGATTTATTTGTTTTGTGGGTTTTTTAGAAGTTGAATTTTAAATTTATTTTTCAGGTATATAATGAAATTTTAACATGTTCATCCCATTACACTCTGTTTCCCTTCTACTTTCACTGATCCTCCTTCTCTTTCTACATAGTTTCTCTTTTACATTTATTTGTTTGTTTGTTCATTAATTTGTTCATTCATTTGTGAATTTCATGTTGCTTATAGGATCCAGGGTAAGGGATACAGAGACCTGGGAGTATGGTCTCCTTACCGTTGGCTACACACTGAAAAAAAAATGTCTCTCCTTCCCCAGCAACCATTAATTGCCTACAGAGACGCATGGAAGGGCAGGGCTCCATGAGCTATCACTATTTGCCAATAGATGGTGGTAGGTGTGGGGGGGGGGGTCTGCTCATGAGCCCTTCCCTGCCTGTGACAAGATGTTGGCAGGCCCAGTTGTATGAGGGACTTGTGACAGTAATCAAAATTGATTTCAAATTGTTTAATTGAACATTAAATAGAAAATATGTGAGCTATAAAGAAAGACATACCAAATTATCACTCAACTATCTATTTCTAACGTTAAATTTAAACCAAATACTAAATGCAACCAGGACAGACATATTTGTACACTCCTGTGGTTCCAACATATAGAAGGCTAAGACAGAGAGAATCACAAGTTTGAGACCAGCCTGGGCATGCTTGTGAAGTGCTAGATTTGTAGGCATGACTCACCACACTTGGCTTTATTTTTTAAATTTTTTCAGTTGTTTCTTGATTTTTTTGTTTTTAAGATTTATTTTTCATTTTACATACCAACCCCAGTTCCCTCTCCCTCCCCTTGTACAACCTCCTCTGTCCTCCCCCCCCCCCAGCTTCCTGCCTCCATCCACTCCTCAGAGGTGGTAAAGCCTTACTCAAAGAAGTCTGGCATGCCAAGTTGAGTCAGGAACAAGCTGCTCCCCACTCCCTGTGTCAAGGCTGAGCAAGGTATCCCAGAATTTCAGAATTTTTTAAAAGGTCAGGACATCAAGATGCCTCAGTGGGTAAAGACTCTTGCTGTGAAGGCTTGAGACCCAAATTAGATCCCTACAACCCCATGCTGAAACAAAGAGCTGACTCTCACAAGTTGCCCACTGATACCCACATGCATGCATGCTAACTAAATGATTTTTTATTTTTTGTTAAACTGGGGTTGATGGAGTCCTCCTGCCTCCCTGTTCCCTGCCCAATTTCCTCCCCTATGTCCCCCACCACTTTCTTTCCCAGCTTCATGTGATCTTTTTCTTTAATGCCACAGAGTCCACTCAGTGCTGCCTATATGTACATCTACCAGAGCACTGGCAGTCTCTCTAAAGAAAACTGACTCTGCCTCCCTCAGGAGCCACTAATCTCAATAGCTCCTCAAAAAGAGGGAGTCTCTCCCTCATCTGTGCTGGCTTGATCTCCTGCAGGAATTTCGGCAAAACTAATAAAGAATTAAAACAATCTATCACCAAGCAGAAATAAGAGGTAAAATCGGGATCACAAACTTCGTTTTGAAGCATGGCACTGTAAGCTAAAGTCCAGGAGTTACAGGCTTACTGACGTTTTAGCCAATAGACTTTCATATTTGTGAGAGTCAGAGCAAAAACTCCAATGACTCCCTATCTATTAACTATTACTGCTTCAAAAATTAAAACTTTTTTTAAATCCTAAAATCAAAACCAATGTCTTCTGCCATCTCAATCACCAGCCAAATCTACACATGATTTAAAAATTACTGGTTAATAAAAAGGCTAGCCCTATTTTACTGAGATACCAAAAGGAATAACAGTAAAATATGTATGGTTCACAACAGTTATTGTATATTTCAAATTCAGGAGATGATTTTGAATGCTTTCAAGAAAATAAAGCAACATGTATCTGAAGTAAGAAGTATTCCAATTACCACACTGTACATGCACTTAAATGTCACACTGTTCTTGTAAATAAGTATAATTACTATGTGTAGATTTAAAATAAAACATATAAGCCAGGAACAGTGATACAGGTCTATGATTTCAGTATGCAGGAGGGTTGAAACTTTCAAGACCAGCTTACACTACACAGTGAGACACTATCTCAAAAGAAGACAGGCATGGATATGCATACCTGTAACCCCAGCATTTGTGGGTAGAAGCAAGATTGCAAGTTCAAAGACAGTCTAATCTAAGAGATTCAGTCTATTAGAAAGCAGAAAATCTCCCTGTGTCTCTGTCTCTGTATGTCTCTTTCTGTCTCTCTCTCTCTGAATCTCTCTGTGTGTCTCTGTCTCTCTCTCTCTCTTTGTGTGTGTGTGTGTGTGTGTGTGTGTGTGTGTGAAAATAAAGCATAATAAATAAATCTTTTTTCAAGGAGACTTCTGGGTATGTGATTTCTAAACAAAAGATACTTCTAGAAGTGTACTGTTTGGTAGAGGAAGGTAAAGAATATGACTAAAGATAAAACCATATTCATTCTCTCTCTCCCTCAGTCACTTTCTCCTATAACAGGAAGTATCTTGCTTTGAAGCTCACGCTGATCTCAAAACCATGAGCCAACTGCCTTAGTGCTAGGATCTCAATGTGTGCAACCATTCTCAGGTTAAGAGGCTAGTCTCCTTTTAAAGGCAATGAGGACATGAGAAGAATCACCACCTTGAAAACACTGTCATAGTATCACACCTTTCACACCTTTCTTGAATTTCAGTTTACTTTTACAGCTTTCTTCTGCCCTCAGTTGCATTTTTTAATGGTGGGTAGGGGTTGGAGACAGGGTTTCTCCTGGAACTCACTCCGTAGACCAATGTGGTGATATTTTGTTTATGATGTAACAATTAAAGCTTTTCCAAAGATCAGCGTGCAAATGTAGCCACTCTAGTTAGCCATAGAGGCCAGGCAGTGGTGGTACACACCTTTAATCCCAGAACTCAGGAGACAGAGGTAAAATTGAATCTATCTAAAAAGAGAAACAGCTCACACAAAGGTGATCCCAGCACTTGGGATGACACACTTTTAATCCCAGCACTAGGGAGGTGGAGACAAGAGTGATACAGCTGGAGAGAGAGAGAGAGAAGACTATAAGGCAGGGGAGACAAGGGAGAGGGGCAGTCTGAGGATTTGTAGAGATGGATGCAGTCTAGGCAGTCAGTCTAAGCATTCAGTCTGAGGATTGGTGGAGACAGGATGGCCCATTCAGTCTGAGGTTGAGGTAAGAGCTAGTGGCTAGCTGCTTTGCTTCTCTGATCCTTCATCTTCCCCCCTCCACCCAAGGCTCAATCCTCAGTGCCCACCCCCACCTAAAAATCTGAGAAAACCTATCGTTTATGTTTGCTATCCTGGAGTTACTTTGTCTTTGTTTTATGAAGTGCTTACCTAATCCAAAGAATGTTGGACTCGGCTGTAGTCCTGACATCATAATCCCATTCAGAAGACCATTTAGCTTTGCTTTCCTAAAATAAGAACAGAAAATCGAATGACTAAACTTTACCTGACCTTTGTGATTTATTACTCAGATGCATATAGAAGCCGATTCTGCACAGCCTTTGCCCTTTCACTTCCAGCTTCATGGAATCACTTAGTAACATTTGACCTCATTACAAAAAAACCAGGAAGGAGGCAAAAGCAGGTGGATCTCTGTGAGTTCAATGCCACTGTGGTGACTTCCAGGGCAGCCAGGGTCACATAGAAAGACTGCCTCAAAAACAAAAAGGAAAAGGTAAAAGAAAGAACTAGAAAGAAAATTGTTGCTATCCAACAAAAACAGCACCTTCCCACTATTATTTTCTATGTAGTCCCAAAGCCATCAGACCCTCTCTTTTTCCTTTTTATCATGACATATTTCCATTTAGACTGTAACGTCTTATGATGCTTGCCAAAGTACATAAAATTTTACATAATGAGTCACTGTAATATTTGGAAAATCAAGTATTCACAATCAAAAATGCTCTTCAGGATAAGAATAGATGATAGTGATCTGCACTAGTATTAGAAAGAGTGAAATGTACTACTGACAAGTGTTATGTCTGAGACAGAAATGACCTTAGAAAGGGGCATGCACATATGACAAAACTATATTCTCAAAACCAGTAGGTACTTGCTGCATGAGCAGGCAAAATGAGTTTGATTCCGAGAGCTGAGGTACAGGGAAAGCAGAGAATAGACTCCACAAAGTGGTCCTCTAACCTAACACATTTTTAACTTTTAAAATCTCATTTCCCACACCCCAGAAAGTCATATGCCTATATTACAGATACAACCATTTTTCTGGCAAGATAAATGTAAAAGACTAAAGGTCATGCTTTAAGAAAGAGAAATCAAGGATAAGAGAATAAAGGTAGAGAATTTTCTCACACTTTCCCTAAATACATCATCTGCAAATATACAGCCATTATCAATATTATTTAAGTTAAAATAAAAGACAACTTGTTTTACTATAACCCAACAGCTTTGCTTATTACAAATTCATGGTTATCCCCAAACAAGAGCCCATATTAAAAAAAAAAAAACTGGGGAAAAAAATCAGCCATATCAACAGTGTTTAAGCATCATTTCTGCACCAAACACTGCCATCTGCTGGAAATCATAGGTCATAACATTTATTAGTCATCCCAAGGAAACTTAGAGAACAAAATGACAAATACAAAAAATAACTAAGTAACAGAGAGACTATTTTTTATTTTCAATGTCTTTTTTATTTTCAAATTTAAATTAGAAACAAGGTTGCTTCACATGTCAATCCCAGGTCCCTCTCCCTCTCCTTCCCCTCCTCCCACCAAACCCCCTCTCCCCATCACCACTCCTTTCCCCAGGGAGAGTGAGACCCTCCATGGGGATATCCATAGTCTGTCATTTCATGCAGGGCAGGGTCTAGTCCCTCCCCCAAGAGTCCAGGCTGAGAGAGCATCTCTCATTGTGGGATGGGCACCCAAAGTCCATTTGTATGCGAGGGATAAATACTGATCTACTACCCAAGGCCCCATAGATTGCCTAGGCCTCCTCACTGACACCCACATTCAGGGGGTTGGGTCAGTCCCATGCTGGATTCCAAGCCATCAGTCTGGAGTTCAAGAGCTCCCCCTTGTTCAGGTCACCTGTTTCTGTGGGTTAAACAAGCCCAGTTTTGACCCCTATGCTCATCCGTCCTCCCTCTCTGACACTGGGTTACTTAAGTTCAGTTCAGTATTTAGCTGTGGCTGTCTGCCTCTGCTTCCATCAGTCATTGGTTGAAGGTTCTGTTTCCCAGACTCAGAGAGCCTATTTTTATCTGCTTAAAATTAATGAATTATTCTTGATCCTTCCATCCCAAAGGATGGAAGCTAGCAATACTCATAAAGTAATATGTGGCAAATAAGTCTTTAATGTTAGCAACAGTGACAGCAACAAGGTGGAAACAAAGACTTCTGTATCTATAGTATAGTACCCCATGACGTGTCAGAGTCAATAGAAATTACACAGAGACTCCTAATTTATAGGGAATTTGATCTGTAGTCCAATGGTTCTCAACAGGAAGAGCAGCACCCCCTACAGGGCATAATGGAAACATGTGGCTGTTACTGGCATTCAGAAAGGCAGGTGTCCTGTAGGGCACTTGGAGATCTACATAAAAGAGAACCGAGAAGAATTGTGCTGTGCCCTACACCTTTCAAATATCCCATCCAAAATTCATGTAGGTGAAAAATTACTTGTGATTGCCTACCCTTTGGTTTCAAACTTGCTTTATAATGTTTTATATTATATATATACATATATTTAATATTCCCACTCAAGAAGGCAATTGTTTTATTAAATTAGGGAAAAATCATGCTATACTTGTCTTGGCATGTTACCAAAATTGACTGACATTTAAAAAACTCATAGCATCCTTTGAAAAATAGCAGTATTTGGGCCAATATTTTGCAATATTCTTATCTGCCTATAATCACACTTACAATGACTATACACATAAATACAATCATATAAAATGGATAAAATACATAAAGGGTATATTGATTTTACCAAAAGTTACTACTATTTATCATTTACGTTATCATTAGGATGCTACACAAATATTTGGTAAAAAATACATGCATAGACAGGTTTTGTCTCCTATTAACAATTAGTCATAGGATTAGACTAGCAAAAGGAAAGTTATAAAACCTTTGTTATTAAAGGGACATCAATCTGATAGAGTTGAAAGTCCCTGATCCGTGCTTGCTTTGGCAGCACATATACTAAAATTGGAATAATACAGAAATGATTAGCATGACCCCTGCACAAGGATGACATCAGAATTTGTGAAGCATTCCATATTTTTGAATCCTCAATAGAAGAAACTCAAATGGCCAAAAGGCACTTAAGGAATTGCTCAACATCCTTAGTCACCAGGGAAATGTAACTAAAAATGAATCTGAAATAACATCTTACACCAATCAGAATGGCTAAGATCAAATACATTGATGACAGCTTATTCTGGAGAGGATGTGGAGTCAGGGGAACACTCCTCCACTGCTGGTGGGAGTGCAAACTTGTACAGTCACTATGGAAATCAGTATGGTGGTTTCTCAATCTACCTCAAGACCCATCTATACCACTTTTGGGCATATACACAAAGGATGCACAATCATACTACAAGGACACTTGCTCATCTATGTTCATAGCAGCATTATTCATAATAGCCAGAACATGGAAACAATCTAGATGCCCCTCAACCAAAGAATGGAAAAAGAAAATGTGGTACATTTACACAATAGACTATTACTCAGCTTTTAAACAAACATTGACATCTTGAAATTTGCACGAAAATGGATGGAACTAGAAAAAAATCCTGATTGAGGTTACCCAGACTCAGAAAGACAAACACGATATGTACTCCTATTAGATGTAAAGCAAAGGATAACCAGACTATAATTCACAACCCCAGAGAAGCTATGTAAAAAGGGGACCCTAAGAGGGACATATATGGAGAGTCCCATGAAGGGAAAATGGTTGAGATCTCCTGGGTAAACTGGGAGGGTGGTAGAAGGGAGGGGATGGGGGAAGGGAACATGAGGGATCAAGAAGACCTAGTTGGGAGTGGGACGGAGGGAGACCAATGAAAGGGAGCCATTATGGAATTAGGGAGAAACCTGGAACTAGAAAAATTCTCAGGAATCCACAAGGACGACCCCATTTAAGACTGCTAGCAATAGTGGAGAGGGTGTGTGAACGGGCCTTCCCCTTTAATCAGATTAGTGACTCCCCTAATTGTCATCATGGAACCTACATCCAGTAACTGATGGAAACAGATGCAATGACCCACAGCCAAGCACTGGGCTGAGCTCCTGGAGTTCAGTTGCAGAGAGGATGGAGGAATCATATGAGCAAGGGGGGTCAAGACCATGATGGGAAAACCACAGAGACAGCTGACCTGAGCTAGAGGGGGCTCAGGGACTATGGACCAACAGCTGGGAAACCTGCATGGGACCAAACTAGACCTTCTGAATGTGGGTGACAGTTATATGGCCTGATCTGTTTGGAGGAGGGGGGCCTGGCAGTGGCACCAGGACCTAACCCAGGGGCATGAACTGGCTTTTCGGAGCCCATTCCCTATACTAGGATAACTTGCTCAGTCTTGATACAGAGGGGAGGGACTTGGTCCTGCCTCAGTTTGGTATACCAGACTTTGTTGACCCTCCAAGGAAGGCCTTACTCCCTCTGAGGAGTGGATTGGAGTGGGAAAGGGGTAAGGGGGGGACAGGAGAATGGGAGGGAGGCGGAACCGGAGTTGGTATGTAAAATGAAAAATAAGTTTTAAATAAAAAATAAATTAAAAAAAGAAAGTCCCTGATCCAGTTTAGCCCTCTCATTTTATTAGAAGGAAACTGGTGTCCTAAGGAAAGGAGAGAATGAATGTACTCAGCCATAATATCAGTTGTGCAAGGCCCCAAGTCTTCTGATTTGGAATTAGCTATTGGCTTATGCTGTGTGAAAATCAGAGCTGCACTTTCCAATAAAACAAAACTTTTATGCTAAAAGTATAACTCAGTGTTACAAAACATGCCAAACACATGTAAAGCCCAGAGTTCCATACTCCACACTACAAAAACAAATAAAACATGCAGTGCATAAATATAGTCTCAGGCTAGACCACAAGCAAAGCTTATTTAACTAGAATTTATAACAAAACAATCACTATTATAATGAAACAAACGTCTTAGTTTGATAGTATGAAAACAGTAGGGCTCACATCTGATCACAGAGACAGAAACGACGAGCACAAGGCCTGTATGCATCTGCACCAGGTCCCCTGTGCATGTTACCGCTGCTAGCTTGGTGTTTCTGTGGGACTCTTAATAGTGCAAGTGGATTGTCTCTGATTTTTTTTGTCTACCCTTGAGACTCTTTTCCTCCTGTTGGGTTGCCTTGTCCAGACTTGGTATGAGGGCTTTTGCCTTGTTTTATTGTATCTTGTTTTGTCCTATTTGGCTGTGGTCTCTTGAAGGCCTGATCTTTTCTGAAGAAGAAATAAAGGGGGAGTAGATCTGCGTGTGAGTGGGCTGGAAGGAGTGAAGGAAGGGAAACTGTAGCCAGGTTATATTGGATGAGAGAAGAATCTATTTGCAATAAAAGTTAAGAAAACAATAAGGGTTATTTTTATTTTGGCTGGGTTTTTAATTGTTTTGGGAAGTTAATACATGCTTACAATATATTTCGAGCAAATTCATCCCCTACTATTATCACCCCTCTAACTCTTGCCATATTCCTTACCACTCCCTCCAAACTGAATTTACTTTCCCTCACTAAATGAACCCAGCATTTGCTTTTTTAAAAAAAATAGGGTCTCACTATGCAGCTCAGGCTAGCCTCCAACTCATGATTGTCCTGACTCAGCTTTTTCAGAGCTATAAAACAGCTTATAAAATGACCAGCATCCAATAACTCATAATAAGCATTCAATATCCATAATTCATAATAGTATGTAATAAAGGCAATGACTTCATAATAAGAATTCAAATATTACACTGAACTGAACTCCTGGAATCCACTGACAGAGAGGGAGGGCTGATCAGCAAAGGGGTCAAGACTTGGCTTGTTTAACCCACAGAAACAGTTGACCTGAACAAGGGGGGAGCTCTTGGACCCCAGACTGATGGCTGGGAGGCCAGCATGGGACTGATCCAGACCTCCTGAATATGGTTGTCAGTGAGGAGGCCTAGGTAATCTATGGGGCCTTGGGTAGTATTTATCCTTGGCACACAAATGGACTTTGAGTGCCCATCCCACAATGAGAGATGCTCTCTCAGCCTGGACTCTTGGGGGGAGGGCCTAGGCCCTGCCCTGGATGAAATGACAGACTCTGGAGATCCCCCATGGAGGGCCTCACCCTCCCTGGGGATGGGTGTGGGGACTGGGAGGGGTGCTGGGGGTCCCGGTGAGGGGGCAGGGGAGGAGGGGAGGGAGAGGGAGGTGGGATTGACATGTGAAGCAAACTTGTTTCTAATTTAAATTTAAAAATGAAAAAAAGAATTCAAATATTTGTCATAAAAATAAAGAAGTATTCACTCAACTGGTAATATAATTGAATCTATCTTTCCTTTTGAATAAATGCATTATAAACTAGTTTTGTATTATTTGAGAACATGTATCATTCTCTGAAGACATTAAAGTACATTCACGAAGATTCTTATACACCAGAGTCACATTAAGACTTCCATGGTCACCCAGCGTTGGTGGCACACACCTTTAATCCCAGCACTAGGAAGGCAGAGGCAGGAGGATCTCTGTGAGTTTGATACCAGCCTGGTCTACAGAGTGGGTTCCAGGACAGACTCCAAAACAACACACAAAAACCCTGTCTCAAAAAAAAAACAAACAACAACAACAAAAAAGACTTGCATGGTTCAAAGCAGAAGTAGGATAATACACTGTAGTTCACCCAGTTACAGGGTCTAAATCAACCCATATTACAGGGTGTGACAAAGTTTCCTATACTAGGAGAAGCAGGAAAAAGTATGTTGAAGCCAAAGAGACAGGAACTGCACATGTAAAGGTGCATACAAACACCAAGGGAACAGCCACTAGTCACACGGGGCTCCTGAAGCTTGGCTCATGCTAAGAGAAATAAACCTGAAGTGTTAAATGCACATTAGGTTTCACAAAGGGAAAAATACATCTGTACCCAAAATATATCAAGCAAATATAAATAAAACTATAAAAACAAGCAGTTTACGAAAATATTGGAAAAATGGGAGCATCAGACAGAATATTCACTAGGAAACTTTATATATATATATATATATATATATATATATATATATATATGTCCCAGCCCTATACAATTATCTGCTCTTTTACATATTCTGAAAAGAAGAATTAAATGACATGAGATGTAAACAAGACATGGTGCAGAGCTATAATCCCAGCACTTAAGAGGTAAAGGCAAGAGGATCAGAGATTCAAGATACAGTGGACACTGATGGGGGAAGGGGAAAAAGGGAGAAAAGGTATGGAAGGGGAGGAAAGCAGAAGGGGGAGTGAGAGACAGACAGGCTGACTAAATAAGGAACCATGGACTTATGCATGCTCTAATATTACCCTTACAACTTTAAAGTGATGCAAGTTTCAGTTTTAATATAAACACATGATATTTATGTGTCTGATCTATAAAAAAAACCAAGGTGAGAGCATGGAACACTTGCCTCAAATTTCACAGAATATGTGTAGATCACGTTTAAATTATCTGCATCTTCAGGAATTTCCAAAGGAGGTTCATTGCAAGTTAGGTGATTTTCATCCGTATGTTTATAGCTAGTAAAAGAGAAAAGAGGGGAGCTTTCCATTATGTTCTTCATTTAGAACTCTTTTTAAACTCACTATGCTCCTGCCTCTGTCTCTTGACCTGGAATTGCATGAATGAAAATGATACTCACCTGTAGTTCTTAATTTTTAATACTTTTGCTTTTAAATGTTCCCAACAAATGGGACTCTATATGCTACTTAAAACTATACTTATGAACATTCCATTCACCTGAATAGAAACAAAATATATTCTACCAGAGAATTGCTTTTTTCTTCTTTTGCCTCGCCCCTCTTCAATACAATACCTTGTAACTTTAACTGTAGGGCTAGAATATTAAGTACATGAACAAGAAATCATATTTGTAAACCCAGAGATATATGAGAGCCTGCTATGTATAAAGCATCAAGCTTAAGCAATGAAAGTTATTACAAATATACACCACTAGTGGCAGTTAAATTAGTATAGTCATTATGGAAAGTGAATAGAGGTTTCTATATGATTCACCCATCCATCTTCTGGGTAAATCAGATGGAGAAAAAGGAACAATTCTTTGGGCATTTATTGGGGCTCAAGGTACAAACAGTAGATCTCTAATTGTTCAATCTCTTTAAAAGTGGGTCTCCTACATGTGTGCAGGGACAGAGTACTCAGCACTTTTTGAGGCTCCTTACTTGGCTGTTAAAAGAGCTCTAATCATTAGCAGATTCTTCCCCTAACCTGATGCTTTTCTAATAGAATCTACTGGTACTAAAGCTGTCCTCTAAAGAAAAATCAAAATATATTTCTATTAACATTTGTATAATAAAACAGCAGCTAGAATAATCTCAGTAAACCTATTCTCCTTTTTAATTATTCCTCACATTGTGTAATACTCACATACTTAGCATATGGAAACCAAAGTAAAAGAATAGTTAAGCTTTCAAAATATAGTATGCAATGTATACATAGGTATCCTAAAAGTAAAAAATCAAGTTAAGAATCTCTACATTTAAAGTCCATTTTTAAATCGTTAGAACCAATTAAAAAGTAACTCCATAATTACCTTTTGGGATCGACTCTGGTACTAATCAATTTTGCAACATCTCCGTTTGTGTCACTTGTCATGTGGTATGTAATAGTAATGTCAACATGGTTGAAGAGGTACAAACTATTATTTTTGCTGAATTCCAGCTGTAAAAAGATAAAAGAACTTTGAACTTTTCCTAGAAACCAAAAACTACAAAACCTGATAATGGAATAAAATTTGGATACACTAGTACTTTGCTTCAATGTACCATGGGGCTGGAGAGGTAACTCAGCAGTTAAAAACAGTTGGTCTTGCAGAGAACCTGGCTTTACTCCCCACCATCTACATGGTGTTTTACAACCTGTTGTAACTCCAGTTCCAAGGGAATGATGCCCTTTTCTGATCTTTACATAGTTATTCATGATTGTAAAACTCAACACATGAGAGGCTAAGGCCAGAGAACTGATTCCTGCTCCAGATTGGCCTGGGCTAGAATGAGAGCCTTTCTTTTAAAAAATGTCATCAATGTATAAAGTTTAAGTGCACGATGAGTTTGGCCTTTATCATCAGAGAAGATTCCTCCTGCAGCAGATGGAACAAATAGAGACCCACAGCCAGATATTACATACAGAGAGATGGGAGAGGAAGAGAAGGAAGGAGGGAGGGAGGGAAGGGAGGAAGGGAAGGAGGAAGGATGGGAGGGAGGGAGGGAGGGATTTCCAGGACAGCCAAGGCTACACAGAGAAGCCCTGTCTCAAAAAAACAAAAATGAAAAATAAAAGTTCTGAGTTCAGGTATGACCTTTGCCACTTTGCAGATGATCCTAGTCAAGTCACATGTCTTATCTGAAATTCAGCTTCCTCATCTGTAAAACTGCAGTTCTAGGCTCTAGCAGTGTAACTGTTCTGAGAATCAATAACTACATGTGACATAACCAGCAATACTGATGGCACAATAACTGGCATTCAGTCACATTTTCCTTAGCATATGGCTGGCTTCCGCTTAACTCATTATTATTTATGTAGCTGTAAATCTTAAGCTTATGCCACAGACTTATATTCAGCTACCCATAGACTCCCAGTTACAGTACGCTATTTTGCACTTGCAAATTTTGATCACATTGATTTCTTGACTACAAATGCTTACCCTTACATTTGCCTTCCTCCACTGACCCCACTTCCCTATATATAACATACTGTTGCATTGATTTCTTTACAAGTCTATTTCCTCTACTTAAGACTATAAATATAAAAAGACAGAAACAGAACATAGAACACAGACAAAGTGAATTTGTTCTTCTATCTCCAAACACGGCCTAGATAGTATCCCAATAATGTTTTCTAAATGAGTAAAATATAAAATAAAACATAAATGAAGCAGCATCCTTGTACTCCCATTATAAGTTGGCAATACTTACATTATTCAGGCAAAGGCCTTTGAAATGGTCTCTTGGGGCATTAACGCATCCTATTGGAAATCCTAATATGCAATAGTGTTCTTCATCTTCTGAGTTATAACACCATATCACTCTTGCGTTATCAATAACCCTAGATAAGAATATTTTTAGATATTTTATATTGAGCAACATAAATGTTGTCTTACATATTTTTAAGTTCAATTTTAATCAAACTCAAATCACAAAATAGAACATAATTTATATGTCTATTAAATTACTTTTAGAAAGAGTAAAAAAGAAGATAACACGCCTACCAGCTGTGATAGTAATTCTGTTTTATTCCACCCTTCAAAAAAGCCAGCTTCCTTTGATCTTCATCTTCTGAAGTGTAAGATTTTACACAAACTTTTCTACATGTTTCGTTTTTGTTAAAAGAAAACTACAAAAAGGGAAAACAGTAAGAAATTTGACTGAATTTGATAATGTTACCAAATGTCACCAAAAAAGTTATTTAACTTACAGGCACATTTTTTCCTTCAAAGACAAAATTATATTATCATTCTCAAGTCTATCTCCTCTCAGTTTCAGTTTTTAACTGTTATTACTGTAGTCATGCACACAACATGCTTTTACAACAGAAGAACTTACCTTCCCATATTATAGTGTAAGGTTTAAAAACAATTTGTTCCCAGGAACTACTACAGCATCATTCTTTATCATTAACTTTGACTCCCAAAGTCATACATAGTGATTCTAAGAGGTCAAACATTTACTCTGACTACACAGCCACTTGACTTGAGCCATTAGAGTAAGGTCTTCATAACTGAACCCTAGTGACCTTAAAAGGGAAAACACAAACACACACACACACACACACACACACACACACACCTACCATTTTGTGATACAACTTGGAGGGCCATTTTCAGAACTAGTGTGATGTATTTGAGCCTTATGCCTCCAGAAATGGGAGACTAAGTAAGCCTCGTTTCTTTTTCATTACATTTATTTATTATTTGTGCACACACACAGCACAGCTTATGTGGGGCAGATCAGAGAACAACAAGTAGGAGTGAATTCCCTCCTTCAATTATGTACATCCCAGGAACTGAACTTAAGTTGTTAAGCTTGGTGGCAAGCATTTTACCAGCCAAGCTATCTCTTAATCTCAGTTTTTACTGTTTTTGTTGTTGTTTTGATTTGCTCTTCATAACAATGTTTTGAGATAGTCTTAGTCTTTTGTTTTATTAAGATATTGAAGGTAAGGGCTGGAGAGATGGCTCAGAGGTTAAGAGCACTGACTGCTCTTCCATAGGTCCTGAGTTCAATTCCCAGCAACCACATGGTGGCTTACAACCATCTACAATTCAATCTGGTGCCCTCTTCTGGTAGAACACTGTATATGTAATAAATAAATCTTTAAAAAAAGATATTGAAGGTAAAATAAATGCATATTCAGTATCCAGTTTAATCTCCTTATATCACCCTATCCAAAATATGAACAGTGCAATAAATCACAGGTTTTCTTTGTAAAAACGAAAAACAAACACCTTGAAAATAAACCTTATGTGGGCCAAGAAGTATGGCTTGTACTTGCAATACCAGAACTTGTGATGCTAGGTAGGATTATCATGGATTTCAAGAGGTGTGACACTCTCTTTAGGAGAAAAAAAATCAGGAAGAAGGTTGGACCTGATGGCCACTTCTATAATCTCAGCTATCAAGTGGCTGAAGCAGGAGGAGTCAATTATAAGACAACCTGGGCTACAAAGGATACTCCAAGGCTAACTTGAGCTACACAATAGTACTTGTCTCAGAATAAAAAGGACTACACCAAAGTTCCATGGTAGAGCACCTGCTTATCATATGTGATGCTGAGAGTTCACTCCCAAATAACATTCTCACACACACTTGCTCCCTATCACTGTCTCTACCTCTTCATCTCTGTCTCTGTCTCTCCTTTATATGGATGGACCCAGTTACTGCAGGCACTTTAGCAGATTCCTCTACCAACGTGAGCTCTTTTTCTTTCCCTCCCCTTTAAAACAAAGGTTCAATTTTAAATAGTTTTGAGAACGTTCTTTAAAGACTAAGATATACTAATAAGATCAGCAGAATAACCTTGTAAGGACATGGTATTATTTGTTCTCCAGACAGGATTTTCCAAAGAGTATCATGGGATGTTTTCTTCAAAGCATCTTGGCAGAAGTCAAAGCTAAGAAAGAAGTTCGAATAAGTTTTTTAAAAACTCAGGAAGAAATCAGTCTTAATTATAATACATGCATCCTCTCCATTGTTAACAAGACTGCTGTTAGGTTTCAAACCTGGGACAAATGGCTGAGGTGCCTATTTAACATATCAAAGTGGACACTGACTGTGAGGTTCTCTGTGCATCCCTCAATCCCTACTGGTTACAGGGCCCTATTGGCTGGCATACCTGACCCCCACTGAACTCTTTTTGATTTCCTGCTGTCTCTCTTTGGGCCTCCTGGCGCCCCCTGTTCCTCTCCCCCTTCTTCTTCTTCCTCCCCCCCCCACTTTCCACGACTGCTCAGTCCAGTTCTGTCCACTCTGAACTCTCTCAGATGTCCCTGTCTCTCCTTCTGCCTATGCATTCCCACACATCCACCTCCACCATGCCTAGGAGCAGTCATGTTCATGCTTCTTTTCTTTTTATTTCTTTTTCTTCATTCAACTGCAAATAAAACTATGACCTAGAACTTATGAACTGTGTACCTCACTATACATCTCTTGGTAGAGTATGTAATTGCTGAATGCATTACTTAAGGGCTCTTTTTTGCAGCTCTTGACATTTATTAACACAGGAAATGACAATTCAAAAAAACTCACAATTTTTTGTGTATTTTTTCAAATTACATAAAATAAGGAAAAACAACAATTTCAAGTCCATATTAATTCTGACTCAATATATTCAGAAACTATAAATATTAGTTCTGATCAAAAGGAAATTTAAAGAACAAAGTCCTCTCTATATTCCCACATATTCACAAAAATAGCAGATGAAAAAAATAGAATTTTCTTTCAACTATTGTAAATATAAGATGATTTAAGTAGAAAATAAAGTACATAGGAATCTTGTATGTATTTTAAAAGGCAAAGGATCTGTATAATCTAAAGAGAGGCCAGGACATTTTATATACTTTAAATACTCATGCTACCTTATAGTTATGCCTTCCTTTATAATGAATGTCAGACCTGATTTTAGTAGAAATAAAGTAACACAAAAAGACAACTTGCTCTTTTTTCTATAACATAGATAATTCATTTTTCCAGATGTGAAATCATACTGAAGCTGATCATGTAAAAACAAAACAGCATTACTAAACAAGACAACATTATTCACTAAAAACTTATACATGAACTTTTTTCCTTTTTCAAAATCAAGCTACAACTCTGAAGGTGTTTTTAACTTATATGCTATACTTACCTATTATAGTCATAGGCTGCCATACTTTCCACTGAATACAGTTTATCAGCATATATTTGTATTGATGACTTAAAGAAAGAAAAAAATCATTAATAATACAATGAGCTAGTGTTTCCAAACCACATAATAAAACAACTAAGAGGCAATCTGTCTTATTGCTGCTAACATCAGTTTACAACTGTACAGTCATAAATTCCTCCTGAAGTGGTTCGTGGCCATGGTATTTTATCACAGCAATAGGACCCCCACTAAGACAATTTGTTTCTCTGAATGTATAAAATTAGTATTTCCACCATTCTTTTGGTGAGGGAAGGTGGTGAGACAGAGTCTGTCTAGCTCTGACTGTCCTGGAACTCACTGTGTAGACCAGGCTGGCCTTGAACTCACAGAGATCTGCTTGTCTCTGGCCCCTAAGTACTGGGACTAACGGTGTGAACCACCAAACACAGCCTCTACTATGCCTAACTTTTTTAAAAAATTCATAAAACCCTTTCAGAATATGATAAAAGCACTTGCTTCTCTCCTCAGAAAAACACTCATCAAATTCTCTCCAGCTTTTTGAAACATTGCAATTTTTATTTAACGTATGTGTTTTTTATTTAACATATATGTGTGTATGTCTGTGCACCACTGCATTCAGTGTCCAAGGAAGCCAGAAGAGAGTGTTGGATCTCCTAAAATTTGAGTTAGCATCAAAAGAATAAAAACAGAGAATAAATGAAATTGAAATAAAAAAAAGGAAGTGGTAGAGAATCGGGTACAAAAAGGGGTAGGAGTAGAAAATGCAATAGACACAATAGAAGCAGAAAAGAAGAAAAGAAAAGACAGAGGAAGAGAAGCAATAGAGAAATGCAAAGAAAAAAGGACAGGGGTGAAAGAAACAAACAGGAAGTTTATCCATGAGTTAATCTATGCCAGCCTGGTCTGCAGACAGAGTTTTAGGGACAGCCAGGGCTGTTACATAGAGAAACCCTGTCTAGAAAAAAGGGGGAGGGGCAAAGAAAGAAAGGGGATAAGGGACAACAGAGGATGGAAGATGCGATGACAGGGAAGGTGAAAGAAACCTGGAAAGGGAAAGGAATAGGGAAGGGAAGAGGGAGGGAAAGAAAAGAGGCAGAGGGTAGGGAGAAGAGGGAGAAAGAGGATAGGAAGGAAATGTGATAGGTAGGAGAAGAAGGGAGGAAACAAAAGACAGAATTAGAAAAGACAAAGCAATGGGAGAAAAAAGAAAGAGTTGTTGAATACAAAAAGAAACAGAAAAAAGGAAAATACAGAAACAAAAAGACAGAGAAATGAAGAGTGAGAGAGAAAAAAGAAAAATTAAAAACAAAATGAAAATGAAAAATGAGAAAGACCAAAAAAAGAGGAATAAAGGCAGGAACAGAAAAAAACTGAAAGTGAAAGAAAGGCAGAAGAGGCCAGCAGTATACCTGTACTCTCATCACTTAGGAGGTAGGCACTCCAAGTTTGAAGCCAGTCTGGGATACATGAGAGCCTGTCTCAGACAAACACAAAATGATGAAAGTTTCAAAGAAGGAAAAAACAAAGGAAAGAGTAAGAAAGACATAGAAACACAAAGGCAATTAAAAAGAAAGGATGAAAGAGAGAAGCAAGACAGCATGACAGAAAGAAGAAAAGGGAGTGAAAGGGGGAGGAAAATGAATAGAAAGAGAAACAAAGAGAGAAAAGGGAAAGGTAAAAGGAAAGCATGGAATGAGAAACAAATACAGTGGAGAAGAGGGTGAAAAAAAGAGAAGGAAAAGGCAAAAGAATAGAACAGAAGAGAGAAGAGAAAAAGGAGCAGCTGGGAACGAGAGATAGAGAGGAAGAGAGAAAGAAGAGTCTCTGTGGGAAACAGAAAGGGAAGGAAAATGAGGGAATGAGTGAAACCACAAGAGGGAGAGGACAAAAGATAAAAGGAGGCAGAAATAATTTTTAAAAAGGTAAGACAAAGAAATGCATAAAAAGAATAAAGATGGGAGCAAGAAAAAGAGACAGAAGAAGGGGGCATTGAAAATGAAACAATAGAGCAAAGAAAAATGAGAAGGGGAAGACCAGGGGCTCAGAGAATAAAAGCACTGGTTGCTCTTCCAGAAGTCCTGAGTTCAATTCCCAGCAACCACATGATGGCTCACAACCATCTGTAATGAGATCTGGTGCCCTCTCTGGCATCCAAGCATACATGCATATATTATGTATACAGAACACTGTGTACCAAATAAATAAATAAATAAATAAATAAATAAATAAATACAGATTTTAAAAAAGAAAGGGAGCCGGGCGGTGGTGGCGCACGCCTTTAATCCCAGCACTCGGGAGGCAGAGGCAGGCGGATCTCAGTGAGTTCGAGGCCGGGCTGGACCGATAGCCTCCAAAACAATACAGAGAAACCCTGTCTCGTAAAAAAACAAAAACAAAAACAAAAAAAAACAAAAAAAAGGGAAAGGGAGAGAAGGAGGGATAAAACAAGAAGGAAGAGAAAATGCAGGAGAGAGAAGCTGGAGGACTATACTCTACACCACAATATAAAATAACCTTCAAGCTCTGTTGTTAAAATAAGAAAGGTGCACAAGGGGGCTGGAGAGATGGCTCAGAGTTTAAGAGCAGTGACTGTTCTTCCAGAGGTCCTGAGTTCAATTTCCAGCAACCACATGGTGGCTCACAACCACCTTGAGTGAGATCTGGTGCCCCCTGCTGGCACACAAGCAGAAGACAGTATAATAAATAAATAAATAAAATTTAAAAAAAGAAAGGTGCACGAAGTTGAGTTAATCACAGTTGTTTAAAAAATAAAAAGTGTTTGGCGGTGGTCGTACACAACTTTAATCCCAGCACTAGGGAGGCAGAGTCTCTGTGAGTTTGAAGTCAATCTAGTCTACAGAGTGATCCAACCTGTCTTGAAAAACCAAAAAAAAAAAAAAAAAGCCGGGCGTTGGTGGCGCATGCCTTTAATCCCAGCACTTGGGAGGCAGAGGCAGGCAGATCTCTGTGAGTCTACAGAGCTAGTTCCAGGACAGCCTCCAAAACAATACAGAGAAACCCTGTCTCGAAAAACCAAAAAAAAAAAGAAAAGAAAAGAAAAGAAAAGAAAAAGAAAAACAAAAATAAATTATGATGATGTTGATAAAATAATAAATAAAAAATAAAAGAAAAAGAAGCACGAGTCTAGTGCTGTGGCCCACCCTATAATCCCAGCATATGAGAGGCAGACGCAAATGGATTTTGTGTTGGACACCAGACTCTGTTGAACAAAGACTTTCTCTTTAAAAACAAATGGAATATACAATTTCATACCCTGCAATCCCAACATTCTACAAGCTTGAAGCACTAGGATGGTATACTGTTCTTGGAAGTCAGTCTGAGGTACTCAGCAAAACCAGATCTCAAAAAAAAATTTTTTAAGGTCAGTCATCGCAGACTGTGCTTTTCTGTCTGTCTTCCCGGCAAACGCACTGAAACATGGTGATCACCAATCCAAGGCCTCAAGACCAGTCTGCTGCTGTGAGATCTCATAAAAAAAAACAACAAACAAACAAAGAGCCACGGTGAAACAAGATAACACTGCAAGATTACCTCAGAGACGGCAGATACCAGCCTAGGCTACAGGACACCAAGTCTCCAAAATTTAAAAAAAAAAAAAAAAAAGCTGAGACCAGAGACTCACATCTGCAAAGTCCAAATTTAGAAAGACGTCGAGTTCAAGACTAGCCTGGACTACAAACTGAAAAAGCACTCGGCCCAGGCGGGAGGGGCGGGGAGAAAATGAACGACCAGGGCACAGCTACCACGGTTCCGTTTCCTAAAAGTTGACTAAATGTCCCGCGTGGCAAATTCAGTACCACCAGCCTGAAGAAGTAGAAAACTAATGAGTGGGTTTTTTTTTTTTGGTTTTTACGAGACAGGGTTTCTCTGTATTGTTTTGGAGGCTGTCGGTCCAGCCCAGCCTCGAACTCACAGAGATCCTCCTGCCTCTGCCTCCTGAGTGCTGGGATTAAAGGCGTGTGCCACCACCGAATGAGTGTTCTACATTTTGAAGGACCCGGGAGGCCAGGGGGAGCAACCAAGGACAAGAACGAACGGGAAATGTGTGAAAACCCAGGAGTTAGGGTGGCAGAAAGATGGCGGAAAGCATGGCAGGACCTGGAGGGGAGGGGTGAGTGGGAGAAGAAGGAGGAGAAGCTGCGAGAAAAGTACAGGCTGGAAGGTGGAAGAGGGAGGGGAGGCAGTAGAGGAAGCAGGACTCTGAGGAAGAGAGACAGGAGCGGAGAATAGAGGCGGGGTTAGCCGAGGAGCCTGAGGGAGAGCCCGGCAACCAGAGCTGACACGGCGGGCTCTGACAGGGCGGGCTGGGCACCACCACAGGGGGCTATGGAGGGGGCTGGGAGGCAGGTGTAGACTCCACAAGGACCCCACCCAGGAGGAAGTATGGCGCCACGCCAAGAGGGTGGGTGTAGGACCGCCCCGTGTCCGCCCCGCCCTGACGTGGCCTTTCCTCACTTTGCCCGACCCTGACGCGGCCTTTCCTCACTTTGCCCGACCCTGACGCGGCCTTTCCTCACTTTGCCCTGACCCTGACACGGCCTTTCCTCACTTTGCCCGACCCTGACGCGGCCTTTCCTCACTTTGCCCTGACCCTGACGCGGCCTTTCCTCACTTTGCCCTGACCCTGACGCGGCCTTTCCTCACTTTGCCTGACCCTGACGCGGCCTTTCCTCACTTTGCCCGACCCTGACGCGGCCTTTCCTCACTTTGCCCGACCCTGACGCGGCCTTTCCTCACTTTGCCCGACCCTGACGCGGCCTTTCCTCACTTTGCCCGACCCTGACGCGGCCTTTCCTCACTTTGCCCTGACCCTGACGCGGCCTTTCCTCACTTTGCCCGACCCTGATGCGGCCTTTCCTCACTTTGCCCGACCCTGACGCGGCCTTTCCTCACTTTGCCCGACCCTGACGCGGCCTTTCCTCACTTTGCCCGACCCTGACGCGGCCTTTCCTCACTTTGCCCGACCCTGACGCGGCCTTTCCTCACTTTGCCCGACCCTGACGCGGCCTTTCCTCACTTTGCCCTG